TCATGAGTCACCCCCTTGTTGAGCCTGCCAGCCGGATCGGACTACACGGCCGCCAGCAACAAAAGAGCGCGGCGAAAATGTTTTATTCATCTTGCCGTGTGTATGTGCTCATGTATTCCTCTCCTGACCGTATTCTCCAGGGGTCGGAATAAAACACCGCACTGTACAAAAAGAGCAGACACCGCATCCAAGGGTCCGTCCCCCCTAAATTACACCCCCCGAGCAGGGCCCGCTATTATTTTACGCTTCTTTTGTGCCGTGCCGACTGTAAAAAGCCCGTGGTCTGATTCAGTCTGAGAGCAGCTCAGTGAATGTTCTGCTAAAGAGGACCTGTCTCACAGGGAGACGCTGGATGGGCTACAAACATTTGTTTAATTCTCTAATGGTGAATGGGGACTAGGGACGAGCTCAGGTTCTGACCGAACCCAGTCCAAAAGAGAGCTTCCCTGAACATGGAAGTACCATGGGCCACGCCCCTAATCAGCTGCAGTACAGGCATTCCCCACGCCGCAGCTGGTAGGAAATTACATTTTTCTAATATGGCCGCATAGCCATTGCCATATACACTATATTGCCAAAAGTATTGGGCCCCTCCCCCTCCAAACCATTGGATTCAGGTGTTCCAATCACCTCCATGGACACAGGTGTATAACATCGCGCACCTCGGCATGCAGACGCTTCTACAAACATTTGTGAAAGAATGGGTCGCTCTCAGGAGCTCAGTGACTACAAGCGTGGTACCGTGATAGGTTGTCACCTGTGCAATAAGTCCATCCGTGACATTTCCTGGCCACTAAATACTCCGCGGTCACCTGTTACTGGTGTTATAACAAAGTGGAAGCAACTGGGAACAACAGCAACTCAGCCACGGAGTGGTAGGCCACGTCACATGACAGAGCGGGGTCAGCGCATGCTGAAGCGCACAGTGCGCAGAAGTCGCCAACTGTCTGCAGAGCCAATAGCTACAGACCTCCAAACTTGGTGTGGCCTTCAGATTGGCGCAACAACAGTGTGTCAGAGCTTCATGGAATGGGTTTCCATGGCCGAGCAGCTGCATCCAAGCCTTACATCACCAAGTGCAATGCAAAGCATGGGATGCCGAAGAGGCGGAGCTGTTATATCGGAAAAGGGCGGAGCCAACTCAATATTGAACACTACGGACTAAGACTGGGATGCCATTAGAGTTCATGTGCGTGTAAAGGCGTGCCAATACTTTTGGTAATATAGTGTAAGGTAAATGTTAATGTCAGTGACTATTATAAAGTATTTTAGAAATTTCGTGACCCCAAAAAATAAGTGTTATAAAATAGACACATTTGCTTCTCTTATTTGGTTTCCTTTATTTTGTTCCCTGGTTGGTTTTATTTCCTGTGAATCACATTTCTCTCGGTCACTCTATACACAGCCGCCCTGCTCTGTATATAATGTCAATGGGGGGCTCAGTGTCCGGCGGTCCCGGGGCCCGCACAGGCTCTGGAAGTATCTCTATCTCTTTTTTTCCTCTATCTCGCTGACAGTA